TTCTGGATATTTTTAAGCTTTTCCTTTGTCATACATATTTTTTTTTATTATTTTAAAGTATTGTTTTTGGGCTTCTTATTGCCTTTTATGATTAGTGACAGCTGAAGACAGACAGGAAGAGGGGCAGGAGAGATAGGGGGATGACAACGCAGCAAGAGGGCCGCAGGCGGATTCAAACCCTGGGGGCCGCTGCAGCAAGGACTCAGCCCTTGGTACATGGGGTCAGCTAGCTCTACCAACGGAGCTAAACGGGGGGCGCCCATTCTTTGTTCAATAATGGGAATGTAAACTTGAATTTCTGTATTTTGGGGCCATCAACAACATTAACACAATACATTTCAGTACACCACCCTGGGGCTCACAGAAATTCTATAATTGAATCGGATTTATTGAAGGGAAAATAATTTGTCAGTTGAGCTTTAGTAACTTGGTACTAAACCCTACAGTGAATTATCACCCAATTACTTGATTCCTGTCAGCTCTACTGAGCTTTTAGCTCATTGTTTTGTTTTCTATTGGTTGTTTTTGGGGGGGGGGTTTCCCTTTATATGGATTTATGGATAGCTAAAGAAAGACAGAAAAGGGTGGACGAGAGAGGGAGGGCATGCAGCAAAGGGGCCTCGGGTCAGATTCAAACCTATGGGCTTGCTGCAGCAAAGACTCTTTTGCTACATGCCTTTGTACATGGGTTCCAGCGATCTACCAGGGTGGACCCCCCTTTGTTTTGGTTTTCTAAAGCTCTCACTTTCTTAACCTTGGTTCCAGCCCAAGCAGGTTCAGCATGTTTTCAGCAAGAAAGCTCTAATAAACCCGACTGTATGCTACCTTGCCCAGAACCGAACAGAACAGCTGAAAGGACAAAATTTAGGCACCTATGGCTAGTTAGAACTCTGTTCACGAACTATTTAGCTTAACATTTAGCAGTTAAAGAGGCCCGTAGACAGTAGAAACAGAAACAGATGAAAAGAGTTAAATGTTGGCTTAAAGGTCACGGACACAAACGACTCCAAATGAAATTTATGTTGGAAAAAGTAAGGAAATTAAAAAAATGAATGAATGCTGCTTTTAAAGGACCAGTGTTAGGAGTAGTAGGAATAATAGCAGTGAAGTTGCAAGACTGAACAAACTGAACACAGCTGCGACTGTATTTGATGAACTTCAAAAAACCTGAAAGCCCTGTAAGAGTGTTTGTCTGTCCGTTCTGGCTTATGTAGAAAATGGTGGTCCATAAAGGACCCCCGGTGTATGTAGATAAAAACGGCTCATTTTAATGTAATGAAAAAAACACAGTTCCAATATTCAGATATTATACGCTGAAAAATATTATATGATTCCTAAATGTTAAACACAGTACTTGTCTACTTAATACACACGTTTATTATTTTCCAGTTGCTGTAACTTTTTTATCTTGTTAAAATGTTTGTTCTCCATTTTATCATAACAAATTAATACAAATAATAATAAGTTATAATAACATAATTATCATCATCATCACTCAAACAACAAACAAACAAATGTGGTTTCAACTGACTGGATACATTATTCAGCTTGGCCACATGCCTTTTTGTTGATGCAGCAAGATAAGATTTTCCAAACGTGACAACAACCTGATATCAGATGAAAAGTCAATGTGACGAAAGACACACAAAAAAAAACTTGAAATCACATCGTGGGAAACATCAATAATTGTCTGGGAGTCTGAATATTCCCGCAAATGTGATTCAGTGATAGAAAATACAGTTTTACTGATCACATGAAAGACTCATGATAGTTATGCAGCTTTTTATCTTTAGTGCCGTTATGAAGTGCAGACCGGTTCTATGACTGAAAATAATTCCACGCTCCAGGAACTGAAATTCATATACTCTTGCTGAAAAGTTTTTGATTCATTTTGTTGTTTTATATGAAATTTAAATATATATAATATATGTGTATATATATATATATATATATATATATATATATACACATATATATTTATATGAGATGGATTCATGTTCTCAACCATTATGCTTGACGGCCCCTTGAACTTCCCCCAACATATTGTCAGTTAAAATAGTGGTTTCCCTATAGGGACGTTATGAACAATGCCAAGTTGCTGGGCAGTTTAGTGCATAGGCTGTAAATTATCACCTCTCAGACACTGCACCGGACACTGGTAGTTTTGACTCATCTGGATTTCCCCTGCATTAGTCACCAACTGGAATATACACACAGACGCACACAAGTATGCCCACATAACCCCTCACAGTGTGAGAGTGATTGGCCACAGTGTGGTGTATGTGACTGACACTGATAATACATCTCTCCATAGTGCAGCAAACGTCGGGGCTACTTCATCAGCTGCTCCACCAACTGCTCTTTGGCATCCCGTATGTAAACTCTTGACATTAATAAGGCTGTGTGAATGGGGCCTTATAATGCCTTCAGGACAATGAACACACCAAAATGAATTAAAGTGATATTGGCTGTACAGTCACACAGGCTGGTTGCCATCTATGGTTTTGACTGCAGTACAATTGCAGATTAAAGCGAGCTTAGCGCTCTCAAATCAGAGCCTTGCGAGGATAATAACCACATTAGACATATGTGCACTCCTACTGATGACAGTACCAGAGATGTCACTGACGTAGCTGCCAACTCATAAACACACACATACATCTCAAATGAAGTAATAGGGGTTCGGTGACTGGTTTCCAATGTTTGAGCCTTAGAGTAATTAATGATGTAAGGGTTTCAGATGTCGTTGTAAATATCAGATTTAATGACATCTTGAGGTCAGTTTGTCCTTGTTATGTTGAGAGGCGGACACGGTCAAAGCTACAGTGTGTGTAAACGGTTTATTAGAGGGATTTTTTTGTATTAATAACATAATAATCACCCTGAACTTTTACAAGTAAGTTTTTAGTGTAGTTGTGATTATTGTCAGAGATTGAACTATGTTTTCCAACTGGGGAACTTTATCTAAGAGAGCAAGCTGATTAACAACAAGTGATATTTCCAGCAGTGACCTTGGGGGATAGTTGCTAAGACACTCAGTCACAGTTCAGTGGCACTTGTTGTGCTTCAGTGCACATGGTAACAGCCGTGGTATCTTCTTCAAGGTTTGACTTCCAGCTATTCTTTATTTTATCCATGAACCAACTTTTTCTGTCAGAAAATCTCATAAAAGTGATTCATGATGGGCTTTATTTAATTAATTAACAAGTGTGTTTTATGGAATAATATTGCATCTCTAAATCCTGTGTAATATTCTACATCAACAACTACAGCTTCATCTACAATCAAACTTTTATAAAATGTTTTTTTAGGAATGGCAGTGTCAGTTGGTTGGTCCACTTTGGTCCAAAAGTTTGTACAGATTGAGTCCCCAAAGAATTAATCCTAATGGCTTTGGTAATCCCTGATTTTTTTGTCTAGCGCCACCATGTGGTTGTTTTTTAGTGAAGTGTCTCCTCTACTATTGATGGGTCACAAAAATGTGTAGCCAACATAGATTCATGTCCTTCTGAATTAACTATTACTAATAAATTATAATGACTTTGGTAATACTTGATACAGTGATCTATAGGCAGAAATTGAATGTAATATGTTATGGTTTCATTAGTGTATAATCACCTGGAAATATGAATTGTTGTGTTTCCGTTACCTTAGAATGAGCTGTTTTGCAGGTCTCCTTGCACAGAGTCCAACATTTTAAACCGTTTGTACAGTACCCCAGAACGGACAAACACTAGCACTAGATAGGACCTTTTGCGTTTTTTTTTAAATTTTATTTAGTGCTAATGGGCTAAAGTTAGCATGCTAACGCGGCAAACCATGGTCAGGGTAAACATTACCTGCTAAACATCAGAATGTAAGCATGCTCATGTTAGCGTTTAGCACAAAATGAACCTCTAACCCCACAGAGCCGGTAGCACAGCATAGACTCTAGTGTGACAATTTTAATATGAAGTTCTTGTTTGATAGCTAACATTTGTGCTTGGTTAGGTCTTCAAAATAACAGCTGTGTGACCACAGTGTCACGTCACCAGGTTGGCACACAGTAAGCACGTTTGCTGTCTCTCATAGGTGCACAGCAGGCAGTCAGAGGGGAGAGAGACTGTATGTCTTTATTATAAGTACAAGAGAGCAGCTTAGAGGTTTGTGTCCCCTGGATACACCACATCTATTTATTATCATTCCCCCCGCTGTGACCCTACCTTTTATTTTAGACCGCTGATTCATCTGCAGTTTATCTCTGAAAACCACACAAGACCTCTAGGTTTACAGTGTCATACTGCTTGGTTGAGAGGGAGAGTCGGATGTTGAATCAGAAGAATGTGCCTGGAAGTGGCACGATACGTGTGCGTGCTTAAGAGTTTATGTAGGCTACTGTAAAGGATTTTCAAACCACAATATTTTGTCTGGTGTCTGCTTAAGCCTAAAGAGGATATAGGAGGGCCCTTTGCTTCTCGTTTTCAGCTAATGGTCATATTTTCACTAACTACCCTCCACTAACATCTGATTAGCCATCTGAGATCTTCGCCAAAGAGCATGTTTCACTTCCTTAAAACCAAATATTTAGGTGATTTTTGTTAAATTAATCTTCAGGCTTTTGCTGAATTGGCACAGAATCAACCATCTCTGGTGTTCAGCTACTTGTATTTATGGCCATGTTCAGCATGCCCAGATCTTCCCGGGCTTTGGTGAGAAGCGTGACACAACAGACGTGTCCTCAACCCGCAAAACCACTTGGGAATCTGGGTGGAAATGTCAGAACTGGCCAGAGGAACACATGGAGGAGTAGAGTAGGGGTGAGCTTTTCAGGATAGTGGCTAGCTGTGTTTGTTGGGTGGGGAGGTGCAGGGTCAAATGTAGTTGCTTGATATGTATATCCTAGCAACTGAGAGTGAGTGATATCTTGTACAACTGTAGATGGGGATTGGTCAGAGAGCTGGCACAAGCTCCTCCTATTTGTTGAGTAGCCTAAGAAAAAATACCTAAATTCAAAACATCTCTCAGACTTTCTCCACTCTGCACTGTACCCTCCGGCACTTTAATCCAGGCCTGTTTGTTTATTTTTTTGTATTTATTTATTTATTTTTCATTATTTGTATTTATTCTTGTAGCTTATGCACAGCCGTTGATACATGTGCCTTTATGACGAGCTGGTCGTTTTGAAGATCTCAGCAAAGTGAAGTCTGGCATGACAACATGAATTCACCTTACACAGCTGTGCAGTATTACCCAGAGTTTCCCTTTCACCGGTGAGTGTATAAACTGATGACTAACAGAATTAGATTTCTTTCTTAAAGATATTTAATCTTTACACTTAATTGGCATAGTGCATGGATTTATAATGTGGTACAATTTGGCAAATGTGTATTCAGCTTTAATCTTTAACATGTACTGAACAGAGCAAATAGAGAAGATTTAACTTATTGAACAGGCTGGGAATCTCCCTGCTCTGTGTTTGACCTGGTCCGCCACTCACACTGGTACTGTCTGGAGGTCCAAAGTGGCCTGAGAACAGTTGTGTCTGCCTGGATCCTCAGCTGCTGCTCTGTCCTGATATATTTATAAGTGTGGCATACTTATGGCAACAATGCATGTGTAAAGGGCCATCACGGCCGAAGTGGCAGACAGATTACATGGCATTGCGGTTGCTTGGCCTTCTTCTGATCCTTACTGTCGAATACTTTTGGTCATTTCAATGCATGTTTAATGCATCATTTAAAAAAATGTAAGATATTTTGCAGGTGTTTTCATCTAGAATGACAGATGACAGAATGAAACCATTTTATCAGATGCATGTAGTTTAGTTGCATTTTACTGTACTACTGTATCTTATATATCTTGGATCATAAATGTCCTCTATATTTCTATCAAAGTCATAATGATAACACAATGTCAACATTATGTTGCTTCACTGGCAGTTCTGCTTATACATTACATTTAGAGCTGTTAATTTATTAGCACAAGATACAAAAACATAATACAATAAAGGATTAAAACATGCTTGTGTTCTCCTGTGATAAAAAAAACACTTTTGGTTAGGGTTATTTGGATATTTTATTATTTGGATAGACTGCCTACGGATAGTTTATACAGTATTTGTAACATTTCAACTGTTTTGCTTTGTCTGTAGATGTTTAACAGATTATCTTATTAGTATTTGTGACAGTTCATGAAACCGAACTAAACCTTAACCATCACAGTGGTGTAATGTCAGATTCAGTTATTGAATATAACTTATAATTAGTTGTTAAATAAGTTGTTCAAATGTTACTCTACAAACTGTCTGTAGGTGGAGGACTATCCAAATAAAGTGTAAACAACAATGCTAATGAGTTTATAAAGGCATCTGACCAAAAAATTATTATTATTACAACTAAAATTAGATCTTATCAATAAAGGAACAATAAGGTAATTTATGAAACACAAGAGAACATCAAACAGAAAAAAAGAAAACACAATAATTAGCAGGCATGACATACAATTGTTAATGAAAAATACTGCGATTTCTAAAACAACGTATCGATCAACATGATGAATAACATTTATCAATATACTGTAGATGTTACCACTTACAGGCCTACTAAACAAATAGAGAATTGAATTAAAATATGTATATATGATGCATTAATCAGTGTATACTGTGTACATATCAAAGCAAACTCATCAGTGTTAAATTAAGTCATCCACTACATTCTCACAGTGAGTCTAATCAATAATAATTATTGTGTTCAAAGTTACACATTCATGTTGTCTTTTTCAGATGACACTAAATCAATACAGTGTTTCCTTGTTCTTTATTCTGCTTTCATTTGTGCTGTACTGCACTCATTTCTGTCTGGTTCACATGATTTTATTACTGCTAACAAACTGTATTGTGTTATTATATTTTGTGTTATATTTTAATATTTTATATGTAGTCTTTATATAATAATTGTGTTGTCATACATTATTTGGCGAATTGTTTTAATGCAATGTCACAGTGTCCTTGTAGCGCGCATCAAGCGCTGTGCTTTGATCAAACAGAAAGTTCAGCCTTACAATAATTAATTTATTAGACCTTGATAACTACACTGCTACAGCTTTAAAACCTTTTATATAATGCTTTCAAAGCAACCCTGCTACCAGTGGGGCTTTCATCTATTTGTGAACAAGGAATGTTTTGCTAGCATTCATTTTCTATAGTGTAGTTTCTTTAGATTTTATTCAGCTTTCAAGTATCATGGTATCTTCTTGGTCCACTAATTCTCACCTCCTCGCTTATTTTCTTTGCATTCCAAACCTTAAAGGAATTTGTGCTTGTTCCTTTGCCTCAGAGGATTTGACTTCAGACTGTTTCACTTCTATAAAAGTAAGGGGATGAGAAGAGGAGAAACTTTGGGGCTTTCTATTGTTTTGCAGTCATGTCCCTCTTCCAGCCAGGGCTGACAGATGAGGGGGAGAAGGTCTTAGGGCCTTTGAACAAGTGATTAATAAAGACACTGGAGAAGGGCCCCGATCGGCTGGGCTGTTTGTTTTGATTGCATTTTCATCGGTCGGTGTGCCCAACCTGCCAAGAAACAATGGCCATGCCTGTTTAGTGCTGACCTCTGCCCCAGTCTCGTCTGGAGGCGCTGCACTGTCTTTAAGTGGATGCTGAACAGCCTACGCCTTAGGCTAACTGAAAAACTTTTTGAGTAACCAGACACCCACAAGCACACAACAACCAGAACAGGGATAAACACTCCAATCTGAACATTTTAAATATAATTAAAAAAAATAATTCAATGAATAGATTTTTTAAAAATTATTTGTAAAACTAAACCAAAATTGCACCATTAAAAATAATTTAATTTCATTATTTATTATTTTCCATATTTCATAAAATTATACTGCTGTTGACTGATTCTAATCTCAACCAATATACAGTCTTTAAAAATGTACATGTAGGTGAAAGTGGACATATATTTCAAACTGTTAAATGGCCTTGCTTTGAACACTGTCCAATAAGTTGTAATAAAAACTTTTAAAAGACACATACTGTATGTAAGAAAACATGGACATCCCTAAAACTGGATTGAGCACAAACGTTTAAGAGTGCAGGACATCAGAGGGTGCAGGCTCATTATAATGAAACTGAAATGTATTCATAGGCTTACATGGATACATGTTGAACCTGATGCACAACGTTTGTGATTATATTCTGGATTCTGACTGGTCAACAGATAATGCTGAAAGCAAAGCTCAAACGTCTTTAAGACAATAATAATAATAATGAGGTGACTGTTGAACGAGTTCTGCCAATCTGCCTATTTCAAAGGGAAATTATAGATTGAGTGCTGTTTAACTGAGGCACCTTAATCCTCCCTTCTCCATTGACAAAGATGACGCCACACCCACTCTACCTGCAATTTACTCATTTGTTTTTTTAATTAATCCACTTTGTTTTGTTGGGTTTTTTTCCTGTGACTATTTTAAAATATTAAAACAATACAGGCCTGAATACTTTCTAATTTTTGGACTACATTTGATTCCAAATTCAACTTATAGTTTAAAGATGCAAACATAGAAGTACAAGTTTACAAAACTATGGTTACACATACAAACCCTGTACAGCCTTTTGAATATAATATTCCATATAAGGCAAGCTGCTGAGGCAACTTATAATTCCAATAAATAATAATTATGGACAATATATCACAACTATAGACAAATACACTGTCTGTGTTTTGTAAAAAATGTTGCAACATTTGAATGAACCCGATTTGTTTTTGAGATTTTACAAACATAAAAACAGTCGCCATCTTTGTGCTCCATGACATTGAACAAGGACCTTGAAGGCAAGCCGAGCAAACTCAAACAGCATTATAGTTTAATTCCTGACAATGTAGGTAATATGTCACTGCTAGAATATGTGTTGGTACAATAAACTCCAGCAGCCAGAGTTAATTGTGCAGGAGAGACACCAAGTTATGAAAAAATAATATCCGAAATAAAACCTTGGCTAGCTGAGGAGCACTGAGCTAGTTAGCATTATAATGACATAAGGCTAACTCTTGCTAAATAGGCTAGCTATAGTCCACTAACATTAGCTAATGTTATATTTTAAGTAACTTTAGCCCAGTAATTCATTGCTGGTGAAAATGTAGTTTGTTTATAGTGTTTACAAAACAACTAGTGTTAACTTGCTGTGAGGTCCATCAAAATTTGCTAATTTTGTGAAATTATTTAGCTTTTTTTTGTTTCCATCATTAACTAGTCAGTTGGGACATGAATAAATTAAAGTCAAATAATTTTGAATGCATACATTGTTTCTTTAATGGTCTATATGAGTGTATATATTCTGTCAAAATGTTGCATGCAGTATATTCAAGTATATTTACCAATGTGCTTGACAACAATACTAAAAAGGATACATGTCCAGTTTCCAACATAAAGCTAGCTGCAATCTATAATTCCCAGTAGTTGCCCATCATTGCTCCTCTTAAGCAGTCAAAGCCGCCACATAGTGCTGATATTGCAAAATATATATTTTAATAATATATAATATTTTAATTTTGATGTAATGTACATATTCCATCTGCTTTTTATGTTGTTTGACATTCACAAACTCAGTAAATCTTTATTCTAAATGCATCACTCCCACATGTGTACCTCTTGCACCAGTTGAATTATTTGCATCATTAGATATGCCTGTGTTTGTAAGTCAGGTATTAATATCATTCATCACGCAGTGTTGGGGAATTCCAAAACCTAAAATAGTGCCAGCTTCAGATTATGCCCCCCCCATCTCCTCCACCCCCTCCCCCCGCCCAAGCCCGTCCAGCTGTACACATACCAGAAGTTGCAGCAGTGCTATCATATAGACTGTGGGGGGAATTCCGCCTGTCTCAGACTGCAGCGTGCGCCACTTCAGCAGGAACAATGGCAGGCTGAGCTCTGAAGCAGGTGTAATGTTTCAGGGGAGCAGGTCAAAGTGCCTCTGTCTGAATGGTGCATAATCACCATTATGTGTAGTACAAATATTCAGTATTATGCAGGCTGACTTCTTCACAATGGAAGCACCCTTCATGAATGGCTGCCAGCAGGACTCCTCCTCCTCCTCCCTTTCTCCACAGGCTGGGTGGCCAAATCTCAGCCCTGCACGTCAACATTTATGTTCAGTGTTTGCTGACATTGCAACTTTTAAAAACTACCTATTAAAATAGTTGTGCCCTTTTCAAAAACGACAACAGTAAAGCAACTATTGAATATTTGGAATATGCGTCGTAAAATGAATATGATTGTGGCTGCTTCTGTCTCCTTGCAGACTCAGGGACCCTTCGTCTCGATTGTCCTGGAGAGAGAGCTCATTCCTAACCACAATGTCCCAGAATCAGTCAGCACAGACAACTGACTCCTTCAGCCAAGATGTATTCAACCAACTGTTTGATATGCTGGACCAGTAAGTGAATACTACACATGAAAATAAATGCAAAAACACACACAGATAGTGACTTACAAAAGAATTGTATATCAACTGTTTCTGTGTTTCAGATCTGCCATTCATTCAGTCCAGCCCATTGAGCTGAACTTCACAGACAGTCCAGCTGATGGGTCTGCAGGAAACACCATTCAGATCAGTATGGACTGCATTACCATGCATGAGCCAGATGAGACGCTTTCTGTAAGTACGTAGGTTTGCTGTTCAAGGAAAACTATTTTTCTTTTCACAAGCAATTCCTGGTGCCTCAGACCCACCATGATCACAGATAAAATATATATATTATTTTCAAAATCACATGACCTGCTTAGAATTATACAATTATTATTTGATTTCCAGTTAATTTAGTGCTGAGTCATAAATGTTATAGATATTTTACCAAAGTTAAACCTTTTTTGCCTTGTGATATAAAGCAATATACTTTCCTAATCAGGCTAGATACAATGCTACTTTTTCCCACTGAGCCATTCACCAAAAACAACTGGTATCTTGAAATGTTACACCATTTTTATTCCTGTATTGTGTGCTTCTTCTTAGTTGTGGCTGATAAATAAATGTGCCATCTGAGATTACTTTCATTGTGAGTTAATGGGACTTCCAGTGGTAAACTCCATAGGTTGTACAATACAGAGTTTACTTTCAATTCTCATATTAACAGTGGAATTTCCCCAGGACTATTGTGAAGATGTGGTGCAGAGCAGTTCAACAGCCAGTGAATAAGACTGGTTTATCTGTTTTTACCTTGAGATGATCTGTTGTTATCTCTATCTTAAGTTGTGACCTGTGTGGCCCCTCTGAGACAGTTAGCTCTCAAAGACTTTTGATGGTAGACTGTGCATTCAGACAGTCACAGGCCTGATGATGTGCTTTAGGTAGTGGAATTTGAGTTGAGCATGAAGTACGATTATGAGCTTGCTTCTTGTGATAACACAGAGCAGATATTCTTTCGTAGTGTAGTCAAGTAAATAAGAGCTGTTTGGTTGTTTTTAGATGTGTGTATAAATCGATGCACTGTATGAACTCCCTTGTGTTTGACCTATAAGGGACATATCTTTGTCAGTTCTGCTACTGAGGGATGATGTGCATGTTCCCCTCCCAGTGCAGGAATGCTGTTGTCCAGCCAGGGTGGAAAAAAATAGCAAATAAAATTTTGTTCAAGGAGCTGAGTAATGTTACCCTGCGCATCGCCCAAGGGGGCCTGTGCTCTCTTGAACTGGTGATTAATGGCCCCACCCCCACCACCCACTTTCCTCTACACCAAAGAGGGGCGTGGTGCGTTGATTGGCACGCCAGCAACTCAGGCAGCATCCGTGTGGGGCTAAGAGCCCGCTGCCATGGCGGCTTGCCAATCTCCAAGCCCCGATCGTTCTTACCAAGTCGAGTGTCTGTTTTGATGGAACGAGGCGGTGGGCAAAAACTACCCTCACCCTACCCCCATCCTATTCCACCCATGTGGAGGTGTGCCTCTTTCATGCGTCATTAGAATGCAGCTCACTGTTTAGTGCCCTGGGGGACTTATTTGTATTGTGTAGGGTTTATGTTTAATCTGAAATTCCTTTTTCTTCTGGATTTTTTTTTTCTGTAGCTGCAGGGCAACAATTTAACGCAGCACCTGCCTCACTTGCAGAGGTCCCTGCTCTCATCTATCAGTACGCATCTTCCATATGTAAAGGTGGGGGGTGGCAAAAAGGGGGGAGGAGGGAAGCTAGCAGAGGGTAGAATAACATGAAGGAATGTAGCTGAAATAGTGGCAGGAGAAACGCTATATCCTACCCCAAACAGCTGATTTTACACCCAGATAAAGCTCTGATCAGCTGTGCGTGGAAGACGCAATGTTGAGCAGAGGGACAGAAGTCCTTTTCACAGACAGGATAGAGTTTAAACAACTTTACAGCAGAGTAACTCAATCAACACACAGCTTCTCTGAGATCTAATTACATGTTTGTGTTTGGATTCGTACTTTTTTCAACACACCTTGTGTGTCTTATGGTTGTTGTTCTTCATCTCAGCAACTGATAAGTTTTCACTAGTGTTTCCCAAGTTTAACATGTAAATCGAATCTTAATGCTGTCATCTGAAAAGAATCTGCCAGTTGTGGTGCAATCATTTCCGTTGTCATGTCAGCATCGGATGTAGCTTCTTTGTTATTTTGAAAACACTCTTTATTCGTCATTACATCCACCTGACAAAAGTATGTGAACAGTAAGTCCATCTGGCCTTTTATTTGTCTGAATAAGCAAACATTTTAGGTAGCTCTATCTCCCAAACTACACTAGTTTTACTGTAAAGTTGAGTAACAAGAAGCACAACTTTAAGATCAACTTGGATTATTCATTAGGGAATCTTACAGTATTAAATCCAAAGTAAGCCTGCGCATTAAATGCCAGAGCACAATAAGCTCTTCTTTTATTTTTTTATGCTCCACCAGTTTGCCTCCAGCACATTAAGAAGTGTGTTTTAAGGCGTAGTACCAAGGAATGAGTTCTTGTTACGGTCCACTTGAAAAACTGTTGAGTCAGTGTCTCAGTATGAGACCTTGCCTGGCTTTGGATGTGGGGATGCAACAGCATGCGCCCCTATCTTGGATTTTTAAATTTTTTTAACATCTTTCTTGCAGCTTAGGCCAGACATAATTCAAACTTTTATACAGCAGTATTATATCATGGTAGGTTCCAGTGAAAAACTTACAGGTCACACCCTTTGAAAGGGTGCATGAATAAATCCTTCAGCACTAATCCCATAATCATCTATAGTAAAAAACAAGTTATCCTTGATTGATTTTAATTCAGTGCTTGCATGAGACTTTTCAGTTGTAAAAAAAGGTGTTTTTGTATTTTTTAATAAAAAGCTTAAAGTTGTTTACCACCATGTTTAAAACGATACGATACTATTGTTCAATAGTATTGAAAGTACCAAAGCTATAATAAAAAAACTATTTTTAACCCAAGGCAATCAACTGATCCTCAATCAATGTTAATTACTATTAACATTATTACAAATGTGTTGGTGTATTTTAATTGACTCTCTCTGTACCAGCACTGTGTGCAGGTACATTTTTTTAAAAGGAAAAAATATCATGTGTTATTTCATTTATATAATTTTGTGTTCCTAGGAGTAATGTTTTTTATACTAGTATTGTACTGAAGTTTAAATTCTGGTACCGTGACAACCTTATTTTGAAGTAAGCAGGACACAAGAACAAGAACAGTATTAGAGGTAAATGATCTTCTTTGATATCAGAAATGATGTTAACATTAACAAACAAGATTTGGTTAGGATATTAGTTTTGGTTTGTTTCTGGGCCTTTTTGACCAAAGGGTACCAGGAACTAAAGAGCCACAGTAACTTAACTAAACTAAATTAGGAACTAAAAGTCCCTTTTGTTCTTTACTGTTGCATTTCCACTGCACCTGAAGAACTGTGGCGTTTAGACCAATAACAAACAGAAGCGATGGCTTTGTTTGAGATGTCATTTTTACACGCAACAAGACATCGACACAGAGGTCTTTGAAATGTACTGTTGCTGGCTGATGTCTGAAAGGATGTTGGACTGCTAACATGCAGAGGGATTGTATGTACATTTTATGAATGTAAAACAAACAAAGGAGTTGCATTTAATTTTTTTCTTTTTCTCCTCTTGTTATTTTATTTCATTATTATGCGGTCGGGAAAACATCTTCATAGCTGTCATTTAGACATTAACATTAAACAGAAATCCCATGTAGTCCTGATGTTAGTGCTAGCTACAACCAGTGCTTTCCTGCAGTCTGATGTTCGGTCTAGACCTGCTCTAT